TAGTCATAACATACAATGTAATGCTTTCAACAACTTTTGCACAGTTATTGCAATTTCGCATCCGTTGTCACTTGTATTCACTCTATTCGGTCTGTCTTTTCATAGGAAAGGGATTAAATGTAAGAAAACATTTCAATACATTATCGCATATTTTAAATCAAATAATACTAACAGAAGGACACATACTGTACAATAAAGTGCTTTCAAAACTCTTTCATAACTATTATTAATATTAATAAATACAGCGCTGACAGCTCTATATAACTACATAATAAAACACTTTTAATGAAAATGCAATTCTGTACAATATAGTATATTGAATATACTATAATTTCTAAGACTTTATTAAGATAATTGTATTATTTGTCTATTTTCATTTTAAGCAAATCTACCAGATCAGACCATTTTACTTGTGTGAGCACCGACTGAACCATTTGAACAGATTTGTGCAAATCGTTGACAGGTCTGTCCACTGTCTGGGAACGGCTCTCATGCCCAGTAAACTGCAACTGATAGGCGTCTTCAGCCAATTCAAAGTCACAACACTTTTCCGATTTATAGACAATAATATTTGAATCCAAGATTAGACGCCGAGATTCGGAGGCTTTTGGTGTCGAGTTGACCAATAATTGGCGCCCCTTTTCATTGTTGGGATACCGTCTCATCATATGAGACACATCCGTAATCTTCGGCACTGTTTCCACACTTGTATCACTCGCGAGAGTCTTATAATCATTAAAATAGTCGTTTGAACACAACTACGATAATAAAGAGTCAAATAAATGAGTGCTAAAANTTGTCTTTGTTTATTTGTGTTTTTTGATATATTAATGAAAACATTTTATGTAGTTTAATTCAATTTGTAAATTATGATATTTATTTATTAACAGCAATGTCATGTCAAATGATATTTTAGATATAAAATCTCGTATTTTATCACAAATTATCCGATAAAGTGGTGCAGTATTTGATAAACTGAAACATGGGATCAGAATATTTTTTATTTGATTAGGATTTTTATCAAATAAATTGATGAAAACGTTTTCTAAATATAGTATCATATTTACTATAAATATTTGTAAGCATTCAATATATCGAGTGAATTGAATGTTTGGACAAAATTTTTTGAAACAAAATTAGTTTTGTAGATATATTTATATTATATTAAGAATTTTGTTTTTAATCTGTGTAAACATGATACATTATTAATGGTGACATTACTTTTCAATTAATTCTCTATTTCTTACTTAACAAATACATAAAACAAAATAATAGTTTAGATGAACATATAAAATAGTATTCTGATAGACAAGCATGAAAATGTAAATATATTTTTGATTAAAACCATAACTTATAGAAATTAGAAAAAACTTTCCATCCTTTCAATTTTGACTTTGGCTTTAAATATACTTACGGTATAATAAAGTCTATTGAATGACCATTTTTGTTAACCTACTGTATCATACAATATATGACATAAGAGTTTTTTGATAATTATTTTCTTCTTTAAGATAATATCAAATAATAATAATGGCTATTATTATGGTTTACTTATCACTTAAAACACATCACTTTTCTTACTTATAGTGCATAAACCACTTCTGAAAACAGCAATTAAGGTATAAATATCTCCCTTTTTATATACTTTATATAAAAGCAGATATAATTGAGTGATATTTTTGTGGTCTTCCAATCAATTGGATGTCTATATTCATGCCTTTACTCACATTAAGTATTATATCAAACCTTATCCTTACTTTTATTTACCATTTATTCTGTTAAGAAACCCATCATTTGGTGAACATGTTTGTTGAAAATCACTTACAATTGATACACTTTATAATAATGTACCGTTTTCATACTGTTTGCAAATAACTCACTTATTAAGAAACAGATTTTTATTTAACAATTTTAAAAACTCTTACTTTACAAACATTGAAATATATTTATACAATAAAATGATTTTGTGGTTTAAACCATTAATGAATGATTAGCGACAATACATGGATACAGAAAGTGTTGTCTCTTAACATTCAAATACATATATATTTGATTGAATTCTCATTCAAATCCATTTGTCTATTAGTAGTGTTTCGGTTGAACTAATTTCTCGTTTTTATTTTATGTTAATATCTTGTCTTCAATTACTCTATAAGTGATGAAAAGCAAACATTAAGTAGTGATTGATTTGACGGCAGAGTCTGGACTGGGAATACAATATACAGTATATAAAAGTGTTTGCATGAATGTCTGTGTTTTGTATAAAATATATGAATTGTTGTCACTATTTATTATTAATAAAAGCAAAACATGTATTTTAATGTATGGATGGGAAGACTTTCTAACTTAACTGCAATTATAATCATAATCATAATAATGAGATACACTGTAGTCTACATGTATTATATGCGTGCGATTAAGTCGATTAACTCGAGAATAACACAATATTTCTAATGCAGAGATCCTTTCATTATTAAAACGTTGTAATCATTTCACATTCAATTCGTGGTCTTCAATATTATTATACAATTTGTCTCTAATTATCATTTTTGTGTTACATTTGTATTTTCATTTCTTATTAGAAACAGTTATTTGTTGTAATATTTGGCACCAATTCTGACAAAACTAAACGAAACTATTTTTTAAAGTTGACAAACATCTAAATGTTTTATGGTGTCAATAAATATAGTAAATTTGTCATAAATATAAGTATTCAGTAAATTCTGTTGATATGGAAGAGAATAATCCTCAACCCCTTCAAAATGTCACATAATATACATTATTCTTACTAAACATTAAAAGATTGATCAAATAATTTAGAAATAAATTTTTTCATAACTCTTATAATACAGAACATGAGAACACATTGTTTTAAAATCTTTAAGATTATCATTCAAATGAAACTCACTTTAGTATCATTAACAGTACTGTAATCTCTAAGTTATTATCCGAATATTTTATCATTATTTTCAAGAATTTTCATAAATTTAATAATTATAATTTGATTAAAAGTAAGTCATTGCATAATATTTCACTAATAGTTTAGAAAAAATCTGAATGCTCTGTGCAATTATTGTAGTAATTAAATAAAATATTAATCTTTATAAAATATATATAATTAAATATAAGAAAAATAATTATAAAATAATAAGAAAATTAAATAAACAAAAAATATCTGAATTACTGTGTACTAGATGAAATGGGATTGATATTCAACTAAAAGTCCTTTCATCTCAATTATACAATACATTAGCTTTCATTGTGTTTGAATGGAAGGCGTATTCACTAAATCCATATAAAAAGCGATTAAATATGTTATCAAATAATTAGAGTCTTATGTTTTCAAAAGAGACAAACATTTTTGTGTCACTCATATCTTTGGCGACAGAGGAATAGATGACAAATGGCTCAAAATATATTGAATTACATTCAACCGTACGATACATTACAAGGATTTAGTGGCACCTATACTTTGGGCGCATTCTTCTTCCACGGGGTTAAGTTGATGAGATCGAGGGCCTCCTCCTGGTCCTCCACTTGGAAGCATTTGGCAAAGAAGTCCTCCATTGTTAGGTAGAAGTGCTTGCGAACCGACCGCTCCCACGACTCTATGATACCACTGTCCGGATACAACTATCGGGGAGACATGATATGTGAGTTAGATCTCAATATTTCATTCAATTAATGTCTATATTTAGAGATTAGTATTAATTAAATAATTAGTAAATGTACCTGGACTTTGAACTGAATCGACTTATCGGTCAACTCCTTCATAAGTAGCATTGTGTGGTCGATGTTCACCCGTTTATCACTCGTGCCGTGAACTAAGAGGAATGTCTTCTTCTTCAGATTGTTGTGTTTTTGTTCAATTATTTGAGTCAATCGCGAGTTCTGGTAATTGATGTCATAGTTAGAGTAGGGCTGTCCTATATAGCGCTCGGAAAACACCGACACTACATGTGCGACAATTGAAACTTATCAGACAAAAGTGCTTAAGCTTGGCTATTTTAGAAAACATACAATAATTTTTCCAGTTTGATATGGGAGTGACAGCAATGGCACAGGTGACCATGTCCATATTTGGGTGTTTCTTATCTGTGGTGGGCTCAGTGGTGGCCAACAATGACATGGTTATGAAGCCCCCGTAGTCCCGGCCCCACACCACGATCTTGTCCTCATCAATGTACGGCAACTTCTTTTTCAGATAACTGTATATAATAGATAATATAGTACATAATTATCTAGGTGTTTTAGATAATTGTTGCTAAATACTACTCAATATATCAATAGAAACTTATTTTACTTAATGGCAATCTTCAAGTCGTGGATCTCTTCTTTGCCTAATTCCCCGATTACTTCAAACATATGTCGGTTTCCCTGATATCCGGTGCCTCTGCCGTCGATATGAATAGTGATGTAATCCTTTTTACTCGTCAAATATCGGGACCAATCGAGTCGGTACTCGTAGTTCACTGATTGAGTGTTCGGTAGATTATTGCTGTTTTCAATGCATTTCATTATTATGACTATCAATACAACTCATACTACAGAATAATAGTTTTGTATTTTGACATACATTTCAATAACCGCTGGATATTTGGTGTCTTCGTCTTCAATGAGACTTTGGGGTAAAATGAGTTCCACTCGAATGTCGGGCCCCTTATCGTTGGGAATCGTTAGGTATTTTATTTTAGGCATCATCTTTGTCTCCAATTCTGTCCGCAATTTTGCGGTCGTGTCCAGAGTTTCAATGAATTTGTTTTCATCGACTGACAACAGATGTATTGTCGGAATCTCAGGCCCTTTTGGTGTTAGATTTTGGATAAAAATTATCTTAATAAAAAACATTATAATAATGAAATTAATTAAACCATACCTAAACACTCGGATACATAATAGCGTCCGTTAGGGCTGAATATCGCGTTATTAAACCAACATTTTTCGCTAGCATTACATGAAAGGCATTCAATTTTTCTTGGGTTCAGAGAATTCATGTAACCATACCTAAACACTCGGATACATAATAGCGTCCGTTAGGGCTGAATATCGCGTTATTAAACCAACATTTTTCGCTAGCATTACATGAAAGGCATTCAATTTTTCTTGGGTTCAGAGAATTCATGTCCGTCACCGAGAATATGTGCCTAATTGTCATGTGATACAACACAACACATTATTATATAACATATAGGAAATTAAACTACAGTATATTTGTGTTTTATTACCTGCTCCCGGGATCGTTATATACTGTGGCCGCAAAGTATCTGCAAATAGTTTTGTATTAAAAAATAAATACCAAAATTTAGAGTTTAAAAAGTTTAAAATGATTACAGGGTACAATAAAAAACCAAAAATGCTTACAAAGTATGCAAATCGGATCGATAGGCGAATATTTTGGTGACAACGAACTGGCCGTGGGTTAAGAAATATTTTTTCCCGCTTTCGGTGTATATCATAGCGATGTGATCGTATGTACCAAACGTGCCGTCAGCCACCGGCAGTCGCATAAACATATACTTCTTGTCGTCCGAGAATACCGGCCCCTCGTCCACCATCAGCCACCCCTTGGGTCCACTCAACTGTTCCTCAATCAACTTATTGCAGACCCAATTGGTCTCCTCTTTACATATACTAACGACGGTATAGTTTTGCGATCTTCGGGACCAGACCACAGCTATGCTTGTTTTGGTGATCCACACTACCGGTGCTGTTATGTAGTGATCCCAACCCCTTATCTCGTCGGGTGGTATCACTTGTGTACGGGCGCGCACGTAATTGGGCGCACTTATGTCAACCACTGTTAACGTCACTTTAGATATCTCACGACCCGGCTTAGGGTATGGATAGGTATAGACTTTGGGGTAGTCGTTGTCTCCGCCACCACCTACTGCTAATGGTCTGGACTGAGAGCTGGCGTTTGTGGCCCCGTATATAATGTATGGCATCTGATCGACAAGTGTGTTGTCGAAGGAGGCGTAACAGAGTCGGGAGCCGTCGTTTAGCCACCAATACGTCAGATGTGTCTTAAGTATGTGCTCTACAGGACAGGACGTGTAGGCAATTGTTAGTGGATTACAGAATCCTAACAATAAGATCATCCATACATACCCTCATACATGAGATCTGGAATGCCGTTGTATATGAATCCCTCCCTACCATTAGTGGTGATCTGAATGGGTTGGTCCCCAATTCGGAAGTAGAAGTAAATGTTGTTTTTATGGATTACAATCTATTGTTAGGATTGAATGGTAAGGAGTCTTATTAAATAAACTCGTAATTCATTGCAAATTCAGGTCACATACGAGTTGATTAGCATTTGGTGCCCAACCGGCGTGTTGTAGGTATTCAGACGAGTCGGGCATCACTAGCGGTACTCCTATATGTGATTTCGTGTCATAGACCGTGTATTTGGCTATATATGAGTGGCTTCCGGTCATAATCATGTCATTTGATAGCAATAGATATCTCCTATCGGCCGATACGCTGAACTTTTTAATACTAAAGTTATTCGTTCGCTAATCATATTAAAGAGATTTGATTATGAATTTTATTTATGCTTTTCATTTAGTTTGAGAAATATTTTGTGATATAATGCGTGTCATAAATACCAGATTAATGCCATCGACTAAAATGCTTTTATATTTGGTGTCAATATTATAGACGACTAACGAGTCGTGAAATAGCTACTTGTCCTCAAGCGCGAGGCTTTCGGTGCTTGGCAATATAGACATCGAAAACCACGGTAAACAATCATTCAGTAGGTGACAATCAGAGAATAACAAACATAGCTAAGGCTTTAGAATTAGAAAATTATTTTTTTGTTGAAAAATAAGATAAATAAATTATGTTTTTATTTTATTCACGTCTAAGAGAATTAATACATAGAGTTAAGAGAATAAAATGATTATTCACAGAATTGTGACAAAAATAAAAAGAGATTTGATCAAGCAGAAAATTAAAAAGTCAGCTATAAATCGACGGACATTTATCTCATAATATATTGAGAGCCCCTTCATGTCACGTCTCATTCACTGTCAACAGAATCTTCATTAGACATGACATTTGTCTCCCGTATATATAAATAGACAAGAATTTGATTTAATAATAACGAGTGCTTTAATGAAAATAAAGTGCTCATTAATGCTACTAAAGTCTCAAATCGATAATTGTATGCCTTTTCATAATTAATTCAACGATAAGATTAATAGGAAAACACAAATATTAGAGACATTATTGGAGAAAGTTATATAAAAACATTGGAATAGCAATGAATAAACATTATAGAAAAAGTAAAGTGTATATAGACTTACGCGGACTTAATATGAATATGGAGAGTAGAATTAATGAACAAATGCTAACGATCACCTATAAGTCATTAGTTATTATTGAATTAATTGATTATTTAATTAAATGAAAGCCAAGTAGTATATTACCAAGAGCGAAATGAGGATTCCTTTCCAATTCCTCTGCTCGACTTCAGTCACAACCAATTCCTGATGATAATCATAAAGTCATTTATTATATGAAAGTCTATTTTGGAAGTTAGTCTTAAGTTATTTTTGAAAAGTGTTTGGTGAGAAATATAAGTCAATAAGTATTATAGTGTTGTTATATGCAATCGGTTTATAAAGTGTTAGGTTTATGCTAAGATTATGTGTGATAATTGTTATAAATATATAAATATTATTATGAGAATTTATTATAATAAAGAATAAACAAAAATATATAAATCTTTTTTGCATGCATTTAACGTCTCTAATAATCATTTATTTTAGTTATCTGTCAACCGTGCGATAGATCTCACAATCTATTATGTTTAATACAATTCATAACTTAATAAATCTTTTGTAAATGGTTTTCAATCAAATAATTGTTAAATAAATATCACGACATTTTCAAAAATCTCATTAAGGATTAATAAGGATAAGACATAAGAATTGAGTCAACTACTGTATTGATTTTTACTTTAATTCATATGTATGTTATCATAAATACTTAATTAGTGAACATAAGTGACTGTATTATAACACATCTGTTTGGGATTTAATGAGAATATGTGATGATATGTGAGAGAGAATTAAGAAACATAAGAAAGAAAGAAAGAAAGAGAGAGAGAGAGAGAGAGAGAGAGAGAGATTGACCTAAATGTTTGACAGAATAGTTTTTAGGTTTTTATTTTTTATATTTTGATATACGATTGCAAACACAGTTTGATATGAGATTAATAAGTCATTAGAGAAACTGTTTGTGAAACTCACACCAAAGGAGGGTTTAAGGGAAAGGGTTTGGAATCAAGAATTAACGACAATTAAAGAAATTAATGTTTTGGTGAAAAAGGTTTACTATAAATCAAACCACGCTTTGTATGATAGATGACAGTCAGACAGAACTTCGTCCATATTATCAATAATTAATTCTTACATAAATTTTTATTTGTTAGCATTTTTAGTTCAATAATTATTTAATATCTATATTATCAGGTTATAAATTCTAATCATTAGTCATTTAGTTAGCAAATACTTAGCGTTTAAATAAAAACATAAATCAATTCGATATTCACATCTTGTAGTCCAAAAGGTGGTGATAATCGTTTGACTGCTTCAGACATTTGACATTCATCAACAGGTAATGGTTTGATTCAAAGCAAAATCTCATTGTCTCTCAACAAAATCATAATCCACACCAAATAATATTTAAATCAACGCTAAAGAATCCATTTAGCGATCATTAGACTTTAAAATTCATAGCAAACATAATGTAAAACAAATAAATATTTGACACAATATTCTGAACATCAGCTTTCAATCCCTCACTCAGTCTTTGCATACACTCTAGAATACAATGAATTAAATCTTACTTTTTCTTCAAATTCATTCATTTTTGTCTATAAATTATATCCGAAATGTTCTCTCATTTTAATGGTACGGTTGAAGAATCTGAAGCACAGAATATATGCACACAAGAGATATGAATGAAGAATTTGGAGTCAAAAATTGTTATCATATATATATTTATATATATCTATACATACTGTATATACTGTATATACTGTGTATAACACGGATAGAGAGAAGAATGCAATTGATTAACGATGAGCGCCAGTATGGGAGCGCACGTAACGGTGCACTCGCTGTATAACTACATATGTCACGCTTTGTCGTGAACTTAGGTTTCGCGTTCACTTCGCGTCCTCTCTGGTCTTATACCCAATGTGACTCTGTCTCTCCCCATACCTCACCAGCAATACCTCTGGTGGCTAAGGACAGAAAGGGAGAGTCTGACCTCAAGAATAACAGAATAACGCTTCGAGTGATCGACTATTTGCTCGCAATTTTTGTAAACAACTTTTCAATGCTTTCGAGACAAACATTGTATTTTTGTTTAGTTTTTATTTTAAGGGAATTTTGTTTACGAAATGATCGACAATTCTTGAGTTTTCAAAATATATTAATAGTTATGTAAAAATACTTTTTATAGAAAAAATGTTTTCTGACATTAGTATTAAACATTTTGCTGATGCAAATTGAGTTAAAATAATAGTTTTAATTCTGTTTACTGTACTCTTATGCAATTATCTCTTATGTTATTGTATTGATATACTGATGTCATAAGAAGTGAATTTTTCTATTATTTACAATATTTCTATTTTTATCACACAGCTATTTCCCATAAGGTTTCACAAAATAAATTAAAAATAAATATTTAATATTCATATAAGTTAAACAATAGTTGAATTTTAATTGGGAATTTTTGGATAAATTGCGTATAAAATATTTAATTAAAAATATTTATATTTGTTGAGTAAAACTACTAAAAAATTTCAAATTACTACTAATTTCAAGTTATTTTGTTAGCATAGTTTGCAGAATTAAATTATGAAGTATTATAGCATCGATTCACTTAACATTACAATAATTTATTTTAAATTCAATTAAAAATTTTGTCTTACTAAAATACTTATATACTTGTTTACTTATATACTTGTATACTCACTTTATTGATTTTATTTTTTATATTCTTTGGATTATAATTTAAAAATAAGAATTCAATTTATTAGTTAAATAATTTTAAAACAACGTTGATAAACTCTTTATACTCTATTAAATAAATATTGTCAATTGTTTAATAATTTTGTATTTTATAAAACACATATTCTTGACAAATGTGAATATTCTTGTCATAAACATAGCACTATCATAACAAGTTAATTATACATTAAGTATTTAAAAATTATTATATAATATGACTGCGAATAAAGAAAATCTATAGAAAATGTGGAAATTGAGTTAGTAGTCTACATACACTTGTATTTTTNCTAACGAGTCGTGAATATCGATGAACAGGAGTTCGCGCTCCGAAAGCCACGAACCGTTATATCTGTAGCTTTTGGTGCCATTTGTTAGTAAGTCATCCACTGTTAGTCTCTTATTGTTTGTATCGATTCCGAAATCTTAATCGAAATGATTTTTTTGTTGAAAAATAAGAAAATTAAATTATGTTTTTATTTTATTCACGTCTAAGAGAATTAATACATAGAGTTAAGAGAATAAAATGATTATTCACAGGATTGTGACAAAAATAAAAAGAGATTTGATCAAGCAGAAAATTAAAAAGTCAGCTATAAATCGACGATCCAGACATTTATCTCATAATATATTGAGAGCCCCTTCATGTCACGTCTCATTCACTGTCAACAGAATCTTCATTAGACATGACATTTGTCTCCCGTATATATAAATAGACGAGAATTTGATTTAATAATAACGAGTGCTTTAATGGAAATAAAGTGCTCATTAATGCTACTAAAGTCTCAAATCGATAATTGTATGCCTTTTCATAATTAATTCAACGATAAGATTAATAGGAAAACCCAAATATTAGAGACATTATTGGAGAAAGTTATATAAAAACATTGGAATAGCAATGAATAAACATTATTGAAAAAGTTATATAGACTTACGCGGACTTAATATGAATATGGAGAGTAGAATTAATGAACAAATGCTAACGATCACCTGTAAATCATTAGTTATTATTGAATTAATTGATTATTTAATTAAATGAAAGCCAAGTAGTATATTACCAAGAGCGAAATGAGGATTCCTTTCCAATTCCTCTGCTCAACTTCAGTCACAACCAATTCCTGATGATAATCATAAAGTCATTTATTATATGAAAGTCTATTTTGGAAGTTAGTCTTAAGTTATTTTTGAAAAGTGTTTGTGAGAAATATAAGTCAATAAGTATTATAGTGTTGTTATATGCAATCGGTTTATAAAGTGTTAGGTTTATGCTAAGATTATGTGTGATAATTGTTATAAATATATAAATATTAGTATGAGAATTTATTATAATAAAGAATAAACAAAAATATATAAATCTTTTTTGCATGCATTTAACGTCTCTAATAATCATTTATTTTAGTTATCTGTCAACCGTGCGATAGATCTCACAATCTATTAT